CATCCCCACCCTCTGACACACACAGGCTAGTCCCTGCAGGATTGCCAGATTCTACCGGTTTCTATGGGCCTAGAGCCTTATTCTGGGAGACCGTCTTGGTTCCAACAGCCTTGACTCACTGAGATGGAGGAGGGCCACTTGGGCGGCCCACTCCTAGATTGCCCTGCACTGATCTAGGTGCTGCTGAGATGAGGAGGTGGAAATCGCGGCCTGCTAAAGGGAAGGTCTCGGGAAGAGTTAGACTCCTGTTGGTTTGAACTCTGCACCGCTGCATTCTCTCCTCAGAACAGTAACTTGGCTGTTAATGGTAGTGATCAACGGCTCGATGGCGGTCGGTTTCTAGCGGAGTGTCCCAAGGTTCGGTTCTGGGACTGGTTTTATTCAACTTCTTTATTAATGACCTGGCTGAGGGGATGGATTGCACCCGCAGCAAGTTTGCAGGTGACACTAAGCTGGGGGGAGAGGTAGATACGCTGGAGGGCAGGGACAGGGTCCAGAGTGACTTAGACAAATTGGAGGATTGGGCCACAAGAAATCTGATGAGGTTCAACAAGGACAAGTGCAGAGTCCTGTACTTGGGACGGAAGAATCCCAAGCATTGTTACAGGATGGGGACCAACCAGTTAAGTAGTAGTTCGGCAGAAAAGGACCTGGGGATGACAGTGGATGAGAAGCTGGATAGGAGTCAACAGTGTGCCCTTGTAGCCAGGAAGGCTAATGGCATATTAGGATGCATTAAGAGGAGCACTGCCAGCAGATCCAGAGATGTCATTATTCCCCTTTATTCGGCTTTGGTGAGGCCGCATCTGGAGTATTGTGTCCAGTTCTGGGCCCCCAGTTACAGGAAGGATGTGGATGCATTGGAGAGGGTCCAGTGGAGGGCGACCAAAATGATTAGGGGGCTGGAGCACATGACCTATGAGGAGAGGCTGAGGGACTTGGGTCTGTTTAGTCTGCAGAAGCGAAGAGTGAGGGGGGATTTGAGAGCAGCCTTCAACTTCCTGAAGGGAGGTTCCAAAGAGGATGGAGAGAGGCTGTTCTCAGTAGTGACAGATGGCAGAACAAGGAGCAATGGTCTCAAGTTGTGGTGGGAGAGGTCCAGATTGGATATTAGGAAAAACTATTTTACTAGGAGGGTAGTGAAGCATTGGAATGGGTTACCTAGGGAAGTAGTGGAGTCTCGCAGAAGGGGGCTGTTCTCAGTAGTGACAGATGCAGAACAAGGAGCAATGGGCTCAAGATGAGTTGGGAGAGGTCCAGGTTGGATATTAGGAAAAACTATTTCCCTAGGCGGGTGGGGAAGCAGTGGGATGGGTTCCCCAGGGAAGCAGTGGAGTCTCCATCCCTACGGGTGTTTAAGTCTCGGCTTGACAAAGCCCTGGCCGGGTTGATTGAGTTGGGATTGGTCCTGCCTAGGGCAGGGGGCTGGACTTGATGCCTCCTGAGGTCTCTTCCAGCTCCATGGTTCTATGATTCTGTGAATGGTGAAGTTTGTGGCTCGTAACTGACTTTAGCAACAGTGCAGCATAATGTCGTAGTATCATAGGGTGATGTGTGGGACAGAGGGGTGGATGGGAGTGTTTGGTCTGAGAAGAGCTTTCAGATTAGCCTAGAGCTGGTGCCCTGGGAATGCTACTCTCCAGGGACTGTGCATGTACCCTCCAGCTAGCAGCTAGTTAGCTGGGCAGATGTGTCTCTGAGAAGCCAGTCCCACTCAATCTGTCAGCCAGTGAGTCCGGGGCATGCTGGTGGCCAAGGGGGGAGAGTGCAGTGTTTCTAGAAGCTGGCAGATGGGGTAGGACACAGTTGGAATAGTCAGACTGGTACAGAGATTTCTGTGGAAAGGGGGGTGTGTTTCTGCAGCGATGTGAACACCCTCCCCCCCCATGGTCCCTGAAGTAAGTGTGCTCCAGCCAGCCAGGGGAAGGCTGGGGCTGATTTCCCACCCCTTCCCCTAAGAGTGGGGCCTAGCCCTGCCTCCTGGCGGATCAGTGGGGGCGGGGAGAATCAGCCCCCATGTTCCCCTGGCTGGCCGGAGCGCAAGGTGGCCCTCCAACCCTTCGCAACCCCCGTGGACAGGCCAGAGAGCGTAAGAGCCAGGGTGTGACCAGAAGTCTTTCTACATAGCTCAGCCCTGTGGCCTGCCAGGTCTGGGGGGGGCGGGGACAAGGGTGACAGCCACAACCCAGGGAGGGGGCAGAAGGGGTCTGTG